ATTTATAGCTTCCTAGCTCAATTTTTTCTGGGAAAGGCTCAATACTTATCAGCACCCCCTTGTATAGATCAGAGATTTCACCATCTCTGGAACATCTAATATCATCAAAGGGTTCTTGTGAGCACTAGCTCGCCATGACTATATCTTCCCCTAAGTTCCTGTCTGTTTCTGGACCCAATTATATATCAGCTTCCATCTTTCCGTTACAAAGTATTTTGGTTGATCCCATACTGCCTCTGAAAGCAGATCTAGTTCTGCAATATCCAGTAGCTTCATTAATAGCTCCTCCATCATTGGTTTTCTCCATTCTTCAATTTTTCACCCAGAGTAACCTGGCTGCTGTGTATATATACAGAATACTATATATTCTTTTTTTATCAATGATCTCTGGCATTATATTCAATAACATTTCGAACTTTTAAAAACTTAAAATTTTAAGGTATAAAACTTAATCTTTGCTGAACAATTTCTTGTGACATTTCCCAAGTGATTTGTTTTTTAACTGGAAAGGGGTATGAACAGGGATGTGGAAGGATCAACAGTGTCAATACAGTAATTGTAAGAACCCTTAAATAGTGTGCTTACATTTCAGATGGTCATGCAAGAAATTCAAATGTGAGAAAGTTGCCTTGAAAGTACCATTTTGCAACAGCAAAGGAATAATCCGCAAGCCCACTCTAAATGGCAAAGTGGCCACATTGCCTGGCGGAGAATCCAGAGATGGACATAGCTGTGCATGGGCTCTCTGAGGGAGGAACCTAGCTCACAGAAATATGCCCAGACAATACGCCAAAAGGATTTTGTTCCTCATTATGATAATGGTCTAGCATGAACAGAAAGGCTGGTTTGAATCGAGAAATGTGCTGTTCTTACTTCTACCAACACATTGCAAGAATGGCAAAATAGTGTCATTCCTTTACAGTACACCAACAAGGATTTAAAAAATGAGATTAAGTAGAAAAAGGAAGGTAGTGCCTAATGCTGTTGTGACCAGTCTAATCATAATCCATAAAAGAAATAATACATCCATCTAGCCAGACAATTCTGATATTGTAATGCAAAAGAGCAAGCTGGTTAATGTAAGATCGAAAAAAATAAATAAAAGGAGGGGGGAGAGACAGAGAATTCTAGAAGGCAACCCTTAGCCTACATGCATCACCCTTCTTTACCATTGCCCCAAAGTAAAATGGCTGCCCTGGATGCTGCCCGAGGATATACAGAACCTGGTGACCTCACTCTTATCCCTCTCTTTGGACTACCCAGGACAGCTCTAGGGTTTTATCGTCAGTTCAGCTATCAATCACTTCCTCCTAGAATGCTTTCCCTCTGTATTTTAACCCCCCAAAGAACCACACACAGGGTTTGACTGTACAGTGAGGGAAATGCGATTTCACTCACATTCATTCGCTGTGAGGTCGCACCAAGTCTCTCTGCATTAACTGGTCTCACACACAGAGGAAAACCTTACTAGGGTAATACTTTGTCTGCAACAGCCCAGCAGGTGGCATTGTTAAAAGGGAACTGCCTTTAACTTTACCACAAGCTGCTAAAAAAACAAAAGAGGCTTTGCCCTTAATTGTTCAAAAACAAGAAAATGTCTTGCCAACTGCATTTTGCTTGCACTTCACTGATGGTGTGCTGGCTTTCTACTCTCTGCACAGAGATAAAGGCTGGCAGGTGGCATTGTTAAAAGGGAACTGCCTGAGCTTACTAACTTTACCACAAGCTGCTAAAAAAACAAAAGAGGCTTTGCCCTTAATTGTTCAAAAACAAGATAATGTCTTGCTAACTGCATTTTGCTTGCACTTCGCTGATGGTGTGCTGGCTTTCTACTCTCTGCACAGAGATAAAGGCTGTGGAAAAAAAGAGAAAGGTATACATGCACACAGCATGTATATCCATGACTTATACGCCCTCAAAAGGTATGTGTGTGCATGCACATGGCTTGTCCTTCATCCTGCAGCAAGAGTTGAAGGGAAAGTATGTCTATGTGCATGTGTGGCTTATCCTCCCTCACAAGCGGCAAAGGAGAGTCCTTATTCATAAGGCAAGAGTCTAGGGGGAAGGTGTTGGCACACACAAGTGTAGCCTGTCTTCTTTTCTGCATCAGTTAAGGTGATCAGATGCCTGAACTGCTGTGGTTTTTCAAAAAGCCAAACTCCTAAAGGCAGAGGGGGAACACCATGGATTTTGGGATGAGAGGGACTCTAGGCTGACCCACAATTCTGTCATGTATGCAACAACAACAAAAAATGCACATCAGCCAGCCCAAAAGCCATAGTATTTCTTGTATTTTTTTCTCTGTATATCTGCATCTGTTTGAGTAGCCAGAACACCTCAGGAGCAACTGGGAGTGTCTCATTCTACAATTTCATTTGCCAAAAAGGCACAGATACCCCTGATTTCGTCTGTTATTAAAATTTTCTCCAAAGACAGTTCACATCACTACTGGACACCCACAAAAGAATGGGAAAATCCTCTTGGTCAAGCCACTTGGGAGAAAATATCACACTATAAAAAGGGCAATCACCAGGACCCTTGCCACTTCATTGCTCTAAGGTCTCCTTTCCAACTTGGAAGAGCCCAACTCATCTTTCTGGGAGAAATTCAAATGTTACTGCCTCTCAATGACTGCATTCAGTCAGGCTGGATAACTTAGCAAGCTAGACATCCAGCTACAGAACCAGAGCTTGACAGTCCGATTCCCCAATGTGCCTTCCAGGAGAAGAGCAGGCCTGTGTAGACTTGGGCAAGAAGCACAGCCCCAGTGTGTCCCCAGAAGAAGGGAATGAAGCACCACGTCTGAGTACTCTAGACATAGAAAATCTTGAATAGGATTGCTGTAACTCAGAATTGACTTGACAGCAAGTAAGTAATTATTAGACCACGCAAAGCTGTAAAATAGTATATTCTTGCACACAAACCTATCTATTAATTAAAATCAACAGAAGGTGGGGACCTACACTGTGACCATCATTAAAATTTTATTGTTAGCTGCCCAGAGTAGACATGTATCTAGATGGCCGGGGTATAAATTTAATAAATAAACAAAACACAGTAGAAGGCATTTCAACCGAGACAAGATTGTAGAAATCCTTCTGTTTTCATACTGAATGGCATACTTTTTCTGGAAAAATATTAATATCCTTACAACAGAATCATTCACCTGAGTTCATTTCAACTAACCATTCAATGCTGTGCTGTTAAAAAACTTGGCTACCTGCATATACCACTGAAACTTCTGACACAGCAGTTCTCTACTTTGTCTCTATTAATTTCCTAATACATTACCAAATGTATTAAAGCCTGATTGCTCTAAGAACTTGAACAGACCCCTCATAGGATTCTGATATTAAAACTTTCATCTTTGACATTACAAAGGTCAGGTTATACACACAGCTAAATCCCAGGACAAGATGAGATTCTGAAGAATTTATTTGCATTCCATTAGCAAGCTATTTTTAAAAAATATTATCCACCATCTAGTGAAATCTGCATGAATAATTGTTTTTAGATATCACACAAAGCTTTTAACAAGCAGGTCTCCTGTTGTGCACAGCACTAAGTCTCTTCCCCATACCTTTAGCTCACCACTGTCTGTCCATTCACCATTCACAAAGGTCAGCTAATAAATTGACAGTACAAGCAACAAAATGTGTACAAGCAACCAGTTTTAAATGTGACAGCTATACTGTACAATGCAAATTTCTGAATCATAACAGACGGTAAGAAAATTGGATATATTTACAAAAGATCATTATGCCAGTAATTTGAATCTTCTCATTCCTCCAGACAGATACTAGTGAAAATTGGATTTAAGAGCTATAGTCAATTATCTCTCAATAGCAAATTCATCACACAGATAATTGCTTGTGTTTTATTAATAAAAGTAATTTAATAGTATACAGATATTTTGGCTTGATAAAAGATATTAATATCTTCCTTCCACTTGCACTTCCTTTGCTACTAATAAGCAAAATAAGTCTTCTGATGAAGTGACATTCTGGGAAGACAGAAATCAGTGCTTTACTTTAGTCCATTAATTTTCTTTGAACACCATTTAAAGACAGTTAACTGCACTTATTAACTGAGCACAACATGACGGTCAAATACAGATCTGCGCTGTTCTTGGACTTGAAGTTTCCAACGTTGCTGGGCATACTCCACTTTGTTCAGCATATTGGCACGGCTTCGGGAACGAGCCAACACATCATGAGCGTTTGCAAAAGGCTGGTGATCCTGAAATTGAAGATGTTTTTATCAATATATCATGTATTGTTCATCATGATGCAGCAAGAACCTAGAATATCACTACTAAAGTATTCTAGTTGATAACTTATGCATCATCTTTCTACAGAAAGTATTTATAATTCTCACAGAAGTGACTGCAAGTTACACCTTCTCAAGCAGGTACCAGAATTTAGGGGAGAAAGTTGGAACAACTGGTAAGAGTTTTTTGTCTATTGTCCTGTAATATGGCAGAAAGAAAGGGGTAACGACAGGGCTCACTAAGAGGATGAACAGGGAAAACATCAGGGCTTCTTTTGATGAGTTGTAGAAAGGTGTACAAACTTGTGTCTCTTAGACATACACAGATATTTTGGGATACTGACTGTCTTAAAGGTCTTTGCAGTTTTGTCTCAAAAGACAAAATAAAATACTGTACTGTTTCTCTCGTAACTACTGGATTTAAAGAACTATACAGAGTGCATGCAGGCAATGTAGTTCTATAATTAATGCATTTCTGATTCAGTTTCTCAAACCATCCCCGCTGCTTCTGCAAATCAAGGCACGTCTAGAACAGAACAAAATGCAGCATAACAAGGTAACATCAAAGAGGAAGGAACCAGGCAAAAAAATTCTGACTCCATCTTCCTCATGAATAACCAAACAGTCAAGCAAACCTTCAATTTTACATCCTTAAAAATTCTAGAGTTAAGACCACCCACTCCTTGAGAGGCTCAACTTGGCTATGGTGATACACGTCTTGGTTACTTTCCATTTAGATGACTGCAATGCACTCTGCATGGGGATGCCTTTGAAGACAGTTCAGAAAGTTCAGCTGGTGCAAAATGCTGAAGCAAGGCTGCTAACAGAGTTGGTTCTCACTGGCTGCCAGTTTGTTTCTGAGCCATATACAAAGTGTTGGTCCTGACGTTTAAAGCTATTTATGGGTCATGTTCAGGCTATCTAAAACACACTATCTCCTTGTATGCAGAGGAGTGCCTTCTCTCCATTTCACCATTTTCAGAAGCATGACTGGTGAGGACTCAAGAGGGTCGTCGTCCCCCCCCCGGCACAGTTATCCCCTTCCCTCCTTTCTTTTTGACAACAACTGAAAATGTACAGCTTAAGAGAAGATTCTGGGGAGTCAGCAGGCAACTGAAATGATGACTTCTCTTAAATTTAATTTTTAGTTTTAAAATAATGTTTTAAAATATTTGTATATTACAGGTTCAAATTTTGATTTGTAGGTTTTTTTATAAATTTTATTTTTTTTCAATGCCACTAGGAGAGAAGGGCAGGATAAAATTATATAAATGAATAAAATATTAATATAAATTGTCTTCTGAGGCAAGGACAATAGGCCAAGTAAAAGAATGTCATCTACTCATGTAAACAGTCACTTTGAAGAAAAGTGAGGACAGATCTTAATGGCAACACAGTGACATTATATATTGGCCAGAGGACAAAGAACAATTGGGAGGCTCTACTCCTTATATCCCAGGAAGAACATCATGGTAACAGGAAGACCAATCAAACCCCAAAAACTAGCCAATGAGAGAACAGGTAGGAGCTTGCTTCAATCCTTCCAGCCAGATACAACACCCTTTAGAATAAGCTCCAAACTCAACCCATTCCTTGTTCCTATGCTTGCTTTTTTCTTCCCTTTTGTATTTTGTCTATTGGATTGTGAGCCTGCAGGCACAAATGTTCTTGTCTTTTCATATAAGTATCTAATAATAATTATCAAAGCAAAATATTAAACTAGTATTTATGGGAATCCTGTAGCCATACTGGGAAGTTCCAATTTTAAAATGATTATTTTCCATCTATGCAACCAATAATAAATTATACTGAAATTTAAATCACTAACACACTGTGACTATGTTTATGTCTTTATGTCATCATCAACACCGATCACAAGGGTGTTAGGAATACTCACTTCAAGATATCAAACAACACCAAAATGTATGTTTACATTCAAAATCATAAAAGTGAAAACACAGCTGTTCAGGTGGCAGAGTTGAATGACTACTCTTTTTTTTATGTAAGTCCCCAAGTCATACTATTGAGCATACCAATGAATGAATGTGACCTGTAAATACAGATATTATATACCAAGCTTGTTTTTGAGATTTAAAGATGTTTTGGACAACAAATTATATCTTAAAATATTGGATTAAGGAAAGATCATGTGTGTAATATATACTATGAGTCAAATGTCCACATTATGAATTGTTTTATCATATTAACCTATCAAAACTAATTTTAACTGAAATAATTCAAGTTCTTTAAATATACCAAACTGGGAATCTGAAATTGTGTTTTTAAAAAGTCAAGACACAATTATCTGCAAAAACAGCTTTCAGAAAGGTAATTATGTTAGCTTGCTTCAACAACAACAAAAACAAAAGGAAATGTACAGTGGTGCCTTTGCAAATTGATTCCAGTATGACTTCTCACAGGTGCAATCCACTTTCTGAAACATGGGTCTGAGGATCATATCCACAAACATTCACAATGAAATAAAGTTGTTTAAAGGTGCTATTATACTTTTGTTTTTATCCCAGAGAGAACAGTGGGTACAATCTATTTGAAATGCATGGCATTTCCTTTTATTTATGCTACCCTGAAATCTGTACTAAGTACAGAGTTGCTTCCAAAGTCCATTTATAATGACACCATAAAACTGTGACACAGTTCCAAGTTACAATGAAGTCCTTACAAAAATGTTAAAGAAATTGTCAAGGCTCACTCCTTCAAGAGCCTATTCATAGTTCGTTATGTCTCTGTGCAGTCATTCAGCGAATCACATTCTAGAAAGGCCACAAAGATTCTTGAAGTCTTTTTTCTCCTGATCTAACCAAAATGTTTTTTGTCTATTCTAGGTTTTGGAAAGTGAGATAAAACTATTAAAACCAGGGTACGCAATTTCAGACAGACAAGGCCCACTTTTCAGATTTTGCCATGCACCCAAGAACTGCACTAACAAGCAGTGATATTAAAAGCACTAATTAACTTTTTATTTTAAATTAATGTAGTGCTTATGTATTACAAAGGTTGCTACAATAGGCTTTTGTTAAATGAAAGACAGGATTAACTAAAAAAAAAGTTTTTTGAGAATTGAAAAAGCAGTTTTGAACCCTGTACTGCACAACCAATACATCAACAACTATTATAAGGGCCTCATGAGTGGTGGAGGTACCTGAAAACAAACAGGGTGACATTGGCCACAATGGGCAGATAAAATTCAACCAGCATTTTAGGAACTGAAGACGTTCCACACATGAAATTTGATTACTAGTAAAAAGAAATCCTTACCCCAATGTCTTCATCGCTTTGTATTAGTTGTGAATGTCCAAAGAGCCGTCTCTTTAGAATAGGTTCTACCAAGGTGAGATATACCATGTACAGCAAGAGCAGACCCAAGATTGATAAATATATGATTATGGTAATCTAGAAAGTAAAAGACATCATTTCAGTTTCCACTCCTTGAGAACACATTCATTTTGTAGTACTAGGCACCCCTCTTCTTGAGCTCCCTCTCTAGAGTCTGACTGCCACTGAAGGAGAAGAAAAGCAGCCAGTGCATTTCCACGATACCCTTCCCTCCAACAACTTAAGACCGAACTTACTTCTCCCTCCTCCGCATTCCTTATTGGATCTTACATAATTAGATTGTAAGCCTGAGGGCAGGAAGTGTCTTATGACTTATACTTTAAACTATACAGAGAGCTTTTGTGGCTGAAGAGCAGTTCATAAATGCAATTAATAATAAATAAATAATGATAAACTAGCAATAGGTTTACTACAATGTCAAATACAAGCATTCCAGCCTCAACAATATGTTCAAATCAATTATAAAGCCAAATAGTAGAAGCAAAACTCTTCCCCACCATTGTTTAGCATGAAAAACTGAAGAAAACGAAAAAGGAAAGAAAGTCATGTTTATTTATACAGGTAGGAATGTCAGAGGATGGAAACTCGAGTCTTTCAAACAGCACAATTTTTGGGTTTTTTTTTTTTCATTTATGGCTTCCTATGGAACACATTATGCTTCTGAGATACTAATGTCCTCAAAAACATCTGATACCAGCTAGTGATAAAAAGCAATAGCCTGAATCCAGGAGACGTCTTGCAGAAACAGAATCTTTGCATCAAAACACTGGCTTTAAAAAAAATTGACTGCAACTGCAGCCCATCAGTTACACAAAACTGAATAATCACAATCTATTTCTGGGTTTTGAGGCAAAGTTATCTTGGCTACACAGAGGCTATTTCTTATACTGCACAGTCATTTGTTACTGGATATATCCATAAGGCACTGTAACCCAATCCCAAATCACTGGTGAGTATAACTGTACAACATGCACACATTTGCAAACTTGCACTTCTTTTGCACTTATATCTGTTTGTACAGATAGCATTTTCTGCCCACCCTAAGCTAATGTGGAATTCATGTATAGTATGGATGACTCAATTTAATTGCTATTTATAGTGGTGCACTTTCAGAAAGACCAAGTCTCATTAAATTATCCTTAAGATGGAACAGAGTGGAACAAAAGAGAATCCAAGGCTGGAGTGTTTTAGTGTAATGACTGCCACAATATTTGAAGAACAAATTGCATATCCCAACCTGAACTTGTTCTAAATGGCACACATTAATAGAGAGTGCTTATCAACAACCAAGATCAGTGGTAGTCTAACAAAAATTGTTAGTTAAGCTGGACGTTCCAATTAAGCATTGTTCATGCATTCAATGCATGCTCCCAAAAACATTAGTGACCTGCATATAAAGAACATGGAAGGATAGTACAGAGTTCTCAGAAGGAAACAGGAAGCTCCATTTTTGTCTACACAATGTATGTGTGATCTTTTAAGCATGACATCCTTAATATTTAGTTGTTGTATAAGATCATTATGTAAATAATATAGGGTTTTGACACCACAGCACTGCATAGTACTGCATGCTTCTCTCATAAGCACAAGAAACAAAAAGAAAAAAAGTTTAATGTAAGCAGAAACACTGTCATATTCCTGCCTGAAAAATGAAGAAGGGCATGCAGACAGGCATGAAGATGTATGATAAATTGTTCTATCATTCCACTTTGAGGGGTTATTTTAAAAAAGATTTAAAGATACTTAAATGTGATGGTGGTACCCCTTGTTTTCCAAATAAGGAAAACATTTATTTTGATTAGAAGTTTATTACAAAGACAACAAATTTAAATCCAGCCATTACTAAGATGCATTTGACGCAAACAAAAATTTTCTTAAGAAGAGAAATAATTAAGGGCTTCTCATTCAGAAAAGAAATGCAACTGATGAATAAAGGAGATAAGTCTTGAACTAGGATTTAGGGTACGTCCATTATGGGGTGACATAATAGCATGATTCTACTTCATGGTTTAGACAAGCACCCAATGCTAATGTCTGGTAATTACACTCTTACTATAATTTCTACTTGGATGGGCTTTTACACAATTGATATACTAGGTTCTATTTTACCCATAGTTCCTATATAGTGTTCTAATCTAACATGCTTTGGGAAAGGGAACCGAGCATTAATTGAAAGAAGAAATCAAAGTTTATTTTTACTTTAATTGTTTCAGAGCTTCTTTCCTCATATTTGCATTCACAGCGTAAGCAATAGGCTTCCACATCTGGCCCAGGAACTGGCATGGGATTCACAACATGAAGGCAATCACTAAGCAGAAAGAAAAAGGTGCTTAGAATACGTTTAGGGAAATTTCCATCATTGCAGAGAAATGTTTACCAACAAGAACTCATGCTGAATGTACGAAGAGCAAACCAATCTATTACAGTATTCATATTTTTGAAAAGTAGGAATAGTGGGCATTTTACTCAAATAGATTAATGATATATTTCAATATTTAATTTGCCATACTACAAGAAAGTCACTAAATAATTTATGTCTTACCAACAATAAGGCAAAAAAAACCCCATCAAATACCATTAGTGGAATATTCCAGATAAGAGATTATTAAATAAGTAACATGGCCCTGTTCCCAGCGGCCAATTTATCCCACTAACTTCACCAGCAATGCCTCTCGTAAATGGACAGGCAGCAACAGTAGTGTCTGGAAGTGGTAGCATAAGCAGGAGCAACTGTGAGATGTTTAGAGCAAAGACTCCAGGTAGCAGATGGGCATTTTCATCCAAGAAAGGACCCACCCAGTCCCTCATACCACTACTACTCATTTCCTCTAGCCATACTGAAAGGTAACAAGGAGTACTGTGATCAACAATGTATCACTTAGAGTTTAAGAAAGGGGATACCACTTTTATTAAAGTATCTGTAGATTCAGTACTGGTGGGGATTTCCCACCTCTTTCTAATGTCAATAGCAACTGTTAAACTAAAGGAAGTGTCTAAAGATGAGCATTTTCAACAGGAAAACAATTACTGAAAAGTAGAGATGAACCGCTTCAACTCGCATCTGGTTTCTCTTCTAATTAATGTTGTCAAGAGCTCTTTTACCATACTGAATACCATATATACTTTTAATAAAACAATTATGCTTCCTCCCTTTACTGTTTACATGAATGCTTTTTAAGATTGTAAAATGTCTGGTTTCAAGCACAGAATGAAGTTTACACAGAAGGAGCAAAACAGTATTTCTTGTATTCTCATAAAAGGGTTTTAACGAATACACTAGGACATGGAGATATGCATTATCTCCATGAAATACAACATGTATGTACATTAAAAGACAGTCTTGGAATACATGGCTCGTCCTACAGACCATCTTGGACAACTTTGTTTCATCAGTTATTCCATTTACCTTTCTACTAAGTTAGTAAAAACTTCAGTATCATTCAGAGAACAGGAAATTTAACAAACACCACAAAGAAAGTAACTATACGAGCCTTATAAAACCATCCAAAATACTACCTTTCGCACCTTATCACTTCTGGTTGAGCCAGTGACAGAATGCTTGTAAATAACACAATACTTTTTTTTTAATATTTCAAGAGCAGTCATATTATCTCTATGACAACATCTCCAAAGGGCAATTTTGCCCTTTGACAGCCAATTGCACACTTGAACTATGGAAATATTGCACCAGAAATTATGATTGGTTTGGCACCCTGTAACTAATTCAAAAACATCAGCTACTTGGACCCACGGAGGCTTGCCCGAAACTTTGAAGGGCACCACAAAAAACACTGATCTAAGATTTCTCTACAATAAAACTATCTCATACATTTATAACAGAATAATCTTGAGATCAAACTTAAAGTATCACAAAAGGAATTCTGTCAATTGCAGTAAGTAGATTAAATTTGTTTAAATGCAAATTGTTTAAAATGAAGGTTTTTCTTTTGTAAATCCTTCTGCATTCCATCCCAATCTTCAAACAGAAACTTAACTTTAGCAGCAATGTTTACAAAATTAACTTGGAAGAGTACCTTCTTAACTTTTGCCCCTACTTTGTCTGTGTACTGCACTTAACAGGCATTGATCTCTATACTTAAATTTCCCTTCCACAATACTTTTAAAAGAACAGTTAAACAAGTACCAACAGGATCAACAATCCCTCTAAGCTGCATGGTGCACAGTAGCAAAGTGCTACATCAGCGCCATGCACCTGCAGTCAGTGTTGCCACCCATTTGGTTCTGGTCGTAGCCAGAACCACATGTGCACGGAGCAGGGTTTCCATTCAGCACAAGTGGAAAATTGAATGTAATTAAATCTGAATTTTACATTCAGTTCCTCAGCTCTAGTCTAGCACGCAAAGTTCTGCCCACAACTGGAACCAAATGGGCAGCAGCAGTGGCTGAAGGTGCATAACACTGAGGTTGCGTGCCCATGAAGTTTAGAGGGAATTCTGAACATGATGCTTCATGAGAACAGAAATGAAGATGAAGCACCATCAACTCACCAATCTTTCTGTGAAACATTTTTACTGAAAATGTCACCAGCATGTTCTTTATATGGAGGACAGATGCATTTACATCGGACATCCTCAGAATTCTGAAAAACAAATGTTTAATGAGAATTAATGGGTTCATCAACAAAAAAGATAAGCAGCAGAGAAAACAGGGAAAAGATTACATAATGATAAAAGTACATTAATTATCACAGGATTCTTTGGGTTTTCAGATTATATTTTGTTGTTTTTTAGTCATTAAGTCGTGTCCAACTCTTTGTGACCCCATGGACCCTCCTGCCTTCCACTGCCTCTCCGAGTTGGTAGCTTTGATGACACAGTCCAACCATCTCGTCCTCTGACGTCCCCTTCTCCTCACACTTTCCCAACATCAGGGTCTTTTCCAGGGAGTCTTCTCTTCTCATGAGATGGCCAAAGTATTGGAGCCTCACCTTCAGAATCTGTCCTTCCAGTGAACACTCAGGGTTGATTTCCTGCAAAATGGATCGGTTTGTTCTCCTTGCAGTCCAGGGGACTCTCAAGAATCTCCTCCAGCACCATAATTCAAAAGCATAAGTTCTTCAGCAGTCAGCCTTCTTCATGGTCCAGCTCTCACTTCCATACATCGCTACTGGAAAAACCATAGCTTTGACTATGCGGACCTTTGTTGGCAAGGTGATGTCTCTGCTTTTTAAGATGCTGTCTAGGTTTGTCATTGCTTTCCTCCCAAGAAGGTGTATTTTAATTTCGTGGCTGCTGTCACCATTTGCAGTGATCATGGAGCCCAAGAAAGTCAAATCTGTCACTGCCTCCATATCTTCCCCTTCTATTTGCCAGGATATGATGGGACCTGTGGCCATGATCTTAGTTTTTTTGATGTTGATGGTGAGGCAGTGGAAGACAGGAGGGCCTGGTGTGCTCTGGTCCATGGGATCACAAAGAGTTGGACACGACTTAACAACTAAACAACAACAATTTTCGAAGGCAGTGTTTTCACTTCGAACTGCTAAAAGAACCTGCCAGATATTTTTAACCTATCCATCTGTGTCACATTCTAGGAAGGCAACACCACACCCAATTGTGCTGGTTTTTATGTTTAGATATAAAGTAATTTGAACATATTTTTAGAAATAAAGGAAAGGAAGTTTCCAGGATTTACACACTTTAGCATTAACACATCAAATACCTGTTTACAAAAAAAAGAAAGAAAAGAAAAGAAATTGTTCTGCTAGGCAGAAATATACAAAACTTCTGCTACTTCAGCTATAAATATATGTAAGAATAATCAATCATTAAATAATGCTAACTGAAATGAAATGCACTCCTTGATTTGATGATAATTATGTGGGTTAATCAAAAGATGCTAGCTGCTGCACCTCCCTTCACCACAGAGGAGGAAGTGACAAATACTTCTGTGGGAGAAGGGAAAAGAGGGTCACAACTGAAGTGAAAAAATACGCCCAAAATTTACTCCTCCTGCTGCTGCCCTTGCCTCTTCCCCACTCGCTACGATTTTGTTTAAGGAAGCAGGTTCTTGCTTTAGTCTACTCAAGGGACACATTCACACGATGCGAGAACAGGGGGAAGACGACGACGGCAATAAAACTGGCAGCTGCCGGAGAGTGCCCTAATGAGGCAACTTCTTCATGTTATTTCTAACGAGTATCTCACAGTATCAGGATTCTGATGAGGCTTTTTGACTGCCTCGGTGGGGCCTGCTTTGCCCATAAACCCGACTTGTCGTTCCCAGGGGGGAAGGAGCGGGAAACAAAACGGGAGGAGGGGTGGGAAGGCACGAAGAGAGGAGAAGGAAGGAAGGAAGGAAGGAAGGAAGAGGGACGGGGCTCACCTTTTCTCCGACCACCTGCCCGGCGAGCGTCGCCAGAGCCAGCAGCGCGCACAACGGCACCCACTCGCCCCCGAGGGGTGATGCCGCCGCCATAACCCGTCCCTCGCCGAAGCAAGCCGGGTCCCCAACCACTCGACCACCCCTCCTCCTCCTCCTCCTCCGCCCTTAGCACCGCCGAGACGGGCCTTGAGGTTCGGGCGCTCCAAACATCGCGACTTCCGCTTCCAAAGCCCCGGTCGGGGCGCGCTCCGTGTCACGTGACGCCGCCGGGCCTTCCGTTCCGAAGGGCGCCTTCCTACCGGCAACAGGAGCGCCCGGCGTTGAGTTCCAGAAGGCCCCGCTCCGAGGGAGGGATGGGTGGGTGGCTGGGTGGGTCGGAGCGCCGTAGATTCTCAAAGGCGGTGACGGAGGCAGGATGCGAACCCAAAACAAGGGCCGTCAGTGTGACATATTTTTTTTAAAGATGAGCGGCTTTCGTGGGTTATAAGCATCGGGCGTATGAAGTGCTATATTTCGGCTCCAAGTTTATAGACACGGTGGACATGGTCGTGGGGGGGCCGGTTGAAGAACAACAGAGGCAGACAGACAAGGATCTTTCGTAATGGCAAGAACATCGTTACCCTCCCTAAAGACCTTTCAAACTACTGATTTATGTTTATGTGCTCTCCAGAGCTTGCATTGGTGGTTCAGTGGTAGAATTCTCGCCTGCCACGCGGGAGGCCCGGGTTCGATTCCCGGCCAATGCAACTGATTTTTATGGGACGTGGTGGCGCTGCCGGCTAAACCATGAAGCCAGTGCTGCAGGGTCATAAGACCAGCAGTCGTAGGGCTCCCGTCGCTTTGTTCCACCGCTGCCGGCTAAACCATGAAGCCAGTGCTTGCAGGGTCATAAGACCAGTAGCCGTAAGATCGAATCCACCTGACGGGAGTGAGCTCCCCTGGCTTTGTCCCAGCTCCTCTCCAACCTAGCAGTTCGAAAGCATGCAAATGCGAGTAGATAAATAGGTACCACCTTGGTGGGGAGGTAACAGCGTTCAGTGTATAGCTGTGGCTGCCGGCTAAACCATGAAGCCAGTGCTTGCAGGGTCATAAGACCAGTAGCCGTAAGATCGAATCCACCTGACGGGAGTGAGCTCCCCTGGCTTTGTCCCAGCTCCTCTCCAACCTAGCAGTTCGAAAGCATGCAAATGCGAGTAGATAAATAGGTACCACCTTGGTGGGGAGGTAACAGCGTTCAGTGTATAGCTGTGTTGGCCAGGAGTAGATAAATAGGTAGCACCTTGGTGGGGAGCTTTCCGTGTATAACGGTGTTGGCCACGTGACAATGGAAACTGTCTTCAGACAGGCGCTGGCTCTATGGCTTACAAAATGAACGCTGCCCCCTAGAAGGACACGACTGGACTAAAAATGTCAAGGGGAACCTTTACCTTTATTCTCTAAGGCTCTGAAGATGCCGGCCACAGGGACTGGCGAAACGTAAGGAAGAAAAACCTTAAGAACACGGCCAAACAGCCCAGAAAACCCACAACAACCATTTATGTAAAACGACTGCCACTTAGCACACAATAGTTGGACTCTTGAAATCTTAGTTTGTAACATTGGTGCGTTGACTTTTGCTTTCAGGAGAGAACTGTGCTGAGGACAAAGTTTTGTCAAGGAAAATAACTTTTGGGGTATTTAAAAGAGAGTAGAGGAAAACAACTTATTAATGTATATAAAACAACAACAAACGGTCTTTAAGCTTCTGGATGCACACTGATATTTATGGAGTCGTGTTTGTGCCTTATACAGTGAACTGGCCGGCCTGCCCTGCCTAGAAAGCAGAGGATGCTGATAGAGGATAACATTACTTTGGAAAGAATGTGGTTGGCTGGTGCAGGAGTAACCTTTCTCATTGCTGAGGCAGTAATAGCTCATGGTTGTTGTGGGGTTTCCAGAACTACTACTACCAAGTAGTAGTTCACTTAGTAGTTCAGTCATGGGGGGATCAGAATGGGTAGCCAAAGTAACAGCTTGTCCTTCACCCTGTTACTTGCCCCTTCTGGCCATTTGGAGGAAAGGGTACTTTCTACTACATGCCTAAAGTAGAGATGAAGGGTAGCTTCAACCTTAAATGTTTGGCTAAGTAATTTTATATGCTTATTTGAATGGCTTCATAAAAATTCAGACAACTTACTGCAGAGAAAATACTTTTAGTGAAATATATCAGGGTTTCAGAGGTTTCCATCACAACCCTACTAGAACCAATGAAAAATAAGAGTGAGTTTAGTCACAGTTCCCTGAAGCTGTATTTTTGTAAAATTCTCAGCTTCTGCCATCAATCCACACTCTACACTGTAATATTTAAAAGCCAATATATTTGAAGATAATCCTGTAAAGGTGGGGAACCCTCTTCAGGTCTTCACTAGTTGAAGTGTAGAACTGTAGTAAGGATGGGTGCTGGGGGTGTGTGTACATACACCCCACTTGACACATTGAGAAAACAGAAGTATGTTTGGCGGAACATGCTTTCGGAACTACCATGTTCAAGAATGCTGATGAGCTTACAGGCTGTTACAAGCTGTTTTCAGATTTTTACTCTCAATGTGAGAAGGTCTACAAGGGGGTGCTGACAAGTATTGAGCCTTTCCCAGAAAAAACTGAGCCTAGCAAAGTATACTGGTTTATACAGGTTTATACTTTGGATACCCAGCAGGAGGATATGGGTGCAGATACACCTTCTATCTCGTACTCTCTAGAAACTGATATAAAGAGGCAAACTGTTTCTGATGTTGAGAATAACATATACCTAACACAACTATTTATTCATTTATTTATTCACGAAGGCTTTCACAGCCGGGATCTAATGGTTGTTGTGGGTTTTTCGGGCTCTTTGGCCGTGTTCTGAAGGTTGTTCTTCCTAACGTTTCGCCAGTCTCTGTGGCCAGCATCTTCAGAGGACAGCACTCTGTGTTCTGGTGTAGTTGGCTTTGGGAGTGCAGTATTTA